CCCCACTGCAGGCACGCACGGATCCATTTTTTAAAATAGAACACATTCGGACGTATCTGATCCACGGAGCAAAAGCTTTTAAATCGACATATTTAGACAAAAATATCAGAACAAAGAAATACGATCAGGAAGAATAACGGTTGTAACATTTGCACTGATTTGGAAAACGGAACGAGCAAGAGAGATTATCGTTTGTGTAATAATAATGTGCTGTCAAATATTGTTTGCCCATTTGCCGAAAATCAAGATGAAAGGATCGTCATAGTGGTCTGCACGCGACGTTTACGAGAATGTGCAAAAAAGAAAAGAAAAAGAAACTACTCTGCATTTCGAGTTGGAGTAAGGCTTCAGTCTTATATTTGACTCGTGTAAAATGCTAGGAAATGAAAAATAGCGCAGCCCAATTAATCGAGAAATCCAATTCGCATAATAAGCAAATAAGTCGATTGGCGTAATCGAAGCCCCTTAGGAGGAAACGACGAGGTATTAAGCATCAAATTCATTCCACTCTGCGTTCCAAGGATGACATCGATAAAAAATGTTATATTTCAAAGCATTTTTTTGTATTTCAGTGCACTTAGTAATTGGAAATTTGTCATTTTAATGTCTTTGGAAATACTTCGAAAATGCATTAGTAAAATGCTGCATACCTCCTGTATACTCGTCTATAAGCTGTTGTTTCAAGACGGGGGAAAGTATTAGTTACCTCGTTTTAGAAACTAAGACGTTTATTCTAGCACAAAACGTAAAATGACCTCTCAATCAAACAGTCTTCTTAGTATTTCAGAATGTTATATACGATTCCCTTCGCGTTAATTGTCTACTGGCGCTAGTTGATATCTTGTAACCCGATATATATCCATACAGATCAAATTGATCTTTCATTCTTTTTCTGTTCCTTTATTAGAAAAGCAGACCAAAAGCTGTTATATTTGCTTCTTTGCGCAGAAGAGAGGAACTCTTAGGAAAGTAGGAAGCCGCAATTATTGATAAATTGATACATAATAATTTATTGATAAATTCCGCACTTTTTAAAAACCAGGAGAGTTCAATGAAATTGAGATCAGCGGCCTTTGCTCTATCCTAAAAAAGAGCCGTTTCTGAGAAAAAATATATAAATTGCATTAGCTTCAAGCATAAATTACGGAAAAACTACTCTTTTTCTAAAACAATCTATATAAACTTTCCTTAAGATCTGATTTAAGAACACATTTTATTAAAAGCAAAAATATCTTGAATATTGAACTTGTGCAATATTATTTCTTTTCTAACTTTTTAAAGTAGAGTTCGCAGAAATTTCTTCAAAATTACAGTAGTATAAAGACACCGAAATTTTTTTTTTCAATTTTTGACAATTCAGATTTTCCAAAGAAAATTAGTCCTGCAACAACTTTTAAAATTGTATTCTATCCAGTGAAAAAATCCAAAAATTTGGAGCCATATTTGAGAAATTTTAATATTTAATTTAAAACATTAAAAGTGAGAAGCAATGCAAAGATTTTACAAAGTTTTTCAGTAATGTTTTGCGATGGATCACACGAGGCATGTGTCAGCAGTCGGGCGTCAGTGAGACGACCAGGGTGCGCTGGGCTTTCGTCACGCACATCTGCGTACTCTAGGGAGTATGGAAGAGTTTCGAGAAGGTTAGTCCAAACTGCGCAGAATTAGTGGAAGTTTCCACAGCGAAAGACGAAGATGCCGAATTTAGAGACCGCAAAATTTTCTATGATGCCACGTACGTACACAGGCCACCCTTAGAAATTTTCAGAATGAAAAGGATTAGCATCCGTCTTTGTATCCGACACCCTTCTCATATGCCACACACGAATGAGATTGGAGATTGGAACGGGAGATAGAAACTCACGCGGAGTTTTAAGATCAGCAAATTAAAACGAAAATTAAGGGATTAAGGGATATAGACTTCGTAAAACCGAGGCGAAACTCGACGAAACAGACGCAAAGTTTTTTTCAGGGAAGAACCCCCTTCTTTACGCTGGCCCACAGAATTTCATTCTAGATGAGATGTTAATCTCGTCTGGAATGAAATTCTGTGGGCCAGAGTAACACTCGACGTCTCAGTGGCTCCTGTCGTTAACAACGGACTATCTAATTTGACAGACATTGGGCTATCGGTAAGCCCAGTATTTTAATTTTGCGCGGACCGCAATCAACTTCGGTACGAGTAAAGTTCGCGCACTAATTTAGGAAGATTATATTCGGTCGAATTGCGACACGTCGTCATCTCCGCGTTGCCCGCGTGCGCGCTGCATCACTCATCACTTGGCCATCGTCACGCGCCCCGAGCCCGGGGCGAGAAGAAACGGCTCGGGGAACGATCCTCGTCAGCTTGGGGCTTCCCACGCCACGGCCGAGGCATCAACTCAACTCCTGATACCAACGGACGAGGTAATAACTTCAAACAATGGTGCGTGAATGGTAGGATGTTGAACTCACATTTCAACATTATAGGACGTTTGCATTCTTGCACTCATTGTAAAACAACTTGAGAATATTAATTAATCCAACTATAAGAATTCGAAGTAATGAATTGTAAAATCACTGTTATTATGTAATGTGTGAATAATCAAATATTAACTGCGTGCTTGTCATTTCGGTAACACTTTTTTCAATTTACATTATTATTGTCATTTGGAGCATTAGGCTACGCTAGACCGATCAAATCCAGAGCTGATTTTTATAGAAGAAAATTAATTAAGAAAATTAGAAGAACTTTTAACTTAACCATCCTTTAATTCAACACGCTTTTCCCATCTTCATATTAACGTTTCTAGGCCTTTGAAAATATACTCAAAATTTTTGTTCGCAAAATGTTAAAATAACACTTCTTTCACTTGACACCACTCGTCTGAAACTTTTCTTCCCCGAAGGCTTTTGTTCAGTTTTGATAAGTGGTAGACTTTGCTTTAAACCCAATCTGAACTGTAGTGTGAATGGTACAACTCCTTAAAGCTATAGCCCTTCACAACATTCTTTGCAAGCCGAAAATATGCACAGATGCGTTGTCGTGAAGAAGCTAAACACCATGAGATTTCATGCACCGCATCCAACAATACCTCTCTCCACTAAACTTAGTGAGATGATGGCTGTAATTTTATAGCATTACAACAATTAACGATAATTTTTAACAAAGTTAAAAAATTAAAATTAATTGTAAAGTTAACAATGAAAATTAAATAACCTGTAACAAGTATTGTACCTGAGATTCTGGGTCAATGACCCCATCTCGACAAGGTTTTCGTCCA